AGCGATAAAATCCTGCTGCGCGTTTATCAACCACGGACGTAGCCATGGAAGATTCTCTACAAGAAACCCCCATTAAACATCTGGGTTTCTAAAGGCTAATGGCGTCTCACAGAATGCAACCGTTAATCTCAAATCCTCCGTGCTCATTGATTGCCTGGGATTACTGAACAAACTACCATCCATAACTCCTAAAGATATAAAAATACTTCTAGGTTTGTAAGAATCCCAAACATCTGTATGTGAGCTGTTTTCTCTCCGGTCGAAAGGTAATTTAACCAACAGGTGCTCTGGTAGATAGGTGACCTTGAAACAATGCCTGCAAAAGCATGGCCATACCCAGCGCCATCCTCCTGCCTTTCTTCTTGTCAATTCCTAAAGAAATTCTATTCGTTATGAAAGCAAATTGCAATCAAAAGGGAAATTCTACTCAATTTAGATAATGCCACAATCATTGGGACCGGGGCCCTTGCTGAGAAAAATAAAGTGTTCTCAAGGTCTGAGAGGGGAGGAATGCATGGTACAAAGGGGTGCTAGGAAAAGGTGCCTTGGGAGCCCAAAACAAAGCAATATATTAACAAAGCAGCGGGATTCAGCATTCACTTCCAGCTCTTCCCAGAAATCATCCTTTGAGCCACTGTTCCTCTCAAGGGGTAAGAGGCATTACGGGCATTTTGGGGAGGATGATTCTTTGTTGTATGGGATCGTCCTTTGCCTTCTAGGCCATTTACCTCCTTGACCCCACTCACCAAATACAAGCAGCACTTTCCAATCACTGACACAAAAACATCCCCAGACTCTCCCTAGAGTAGACATTACTGTCCCAAGTTGAGAGCCCTACAAGTCAGGGCTATGTTAATGTAAAAATAAGGTACAGTTTGAACTTGGCTGTGAGGACTCAGGAACTGACTGAGTTATCCAAGATCACCATGCTGTCGGTCTGCATGTAGGTGCATCAGGAAAAGAGAAGCGATTAACTCTATTTGCTGGCAAAGAAATCCCAGATGTCATAAAGGCCGCAACAGCCACATGATTAGAGAGATAGCTTTGTTCTTGGTAGTAAAGCAAGTTTTAAAAGGAAATCAAAGACTGTAATGAGATGGGGACAGTGTTCAAAAGAACTGATGTAGTAAATAACTCAACCCATGTTGTTCTTTTCTTCTGGAAAAGGGAAGGAGGGTTTCTTTGAAGATGAGTTGCTATCTGCTTGATGTTTACATGAAAAACCGAGGAGACAAGCCTGTTTTTTAGGCTCATTGGGTTCAAATCAAAGTTATTGACCAGTTCCTTAACAGGTACTGTTGTGCTATTGGGAGGGCTCTGTGTCAGTGGTTGCCTTGGGTGACAGTTTCAGGAGCTCCCCAGCTTTCTCAGTGTCACTGCCGAGGACCTTCTTTCTCCCTTCCACTCTTCCCATTGACACTTCTCAGCCCCTGTCGTCCTGTCCCTTCCCTTCTCTTCCCTTCCCTTATGTCCCCAGGACCAGATCATCTTTGGGGAAGAAGGTGGGAAGGGACAGCTCATCCTGCCATCATGGGACCCCTGGCCCGGCCCCTTCTCCCCTTGGCTCTGTAATAGCCACTACCATTTGTTAGACAAGGACTGTTTGCCAAGCCCTGGACTAAGGCTCTTTTTTCGTTTGTATTAATATTAAAGTAGGCCGCCAAAGGAAATCTTAATGATTATTCCTCCAGAGGTTTGTTTTCATTATTTTTCTTGCAAGAATCCCAAACTTACAGAAAACTTGCAAGTACAACACAAAGAACTTTTATCCCCCCACGAATTGTTTAAGAGTAAGTTGCCAGCATGATGCCCACCACCCTGATTTTCCTATGAATGAGGAGATAACCATAACCGAGTGAAACTTGCAAAATCGGGACGTTTAACCGGGTACGTTCTTACCATCTAATCCTCAGCCCCCATTCAGGCGATCCCAGAAATGTTCTCTATAGCAAAGAGATCCAGGTGAAAATCATGTGTTGTGTTAAGCTGTCATGTCTCTTCGGTGCCCTTCAGTGTGGCATAGCCTTGCTCACTCTTCTCTTGGTTCTCATGACCTTGGCACACCTGAAGAGTACAGGCCAGTCATTTTACAGAATGTCCCTCAATTTGGTTTTGTCTGCCACTTCCTCATAATTGGGTTCAGGTGACGCAGCGTTGGTGTGACTATCAGAGAAGTGGCTGGGGTCTTCATGTTGTGTCTGGTCAAGTGGCAACAGAATTTCGGTTGGTCGCATCACTTAAGTCACTTGATTGAGGTGATATGTGCCAGGTTTCTCCACGATGAAGTTATTCTTTTTCCATTTGTAACTGATAAGTATTTTAGGGGGAAGTACTCTGAGACTGTGAATACCCTGTTCCTCAGCAAACTTTCAATTATTTTATGGATTCATGGTCTTCTGTTTTAGTGAATGGTCTATCATCCGTTATTCTCATTATTGATTTTGATGCTCGAGTTGTTCCAGATGCGGCCAGCTGACCCCTTTCGAGCTGACCTCTGCTCTCCCCTTGACAAGCCCCCATTGGTATTTGAGCATTCTAGAACAAAGTACCCATCATGTACTTTCCTATAACCACCCTGGACTCAGCCATTCTTCAAGGTGGCTAAGTGCATTGTTGTTGGGCTACCTGTACGGTGGGCCCGTGAATGTCTGTCCATGTGTGGGCCTACATGTGTCTCATACCACGTGTGTCCATATCCTTGGATGCTTTGGATTATCTACTTCTCTGTTCCTTGTCTAACCACAGAAGTTCTCGAAGAGAGACCATTTACTGACACTATTGTAGATGAGAAAGCAAAAGCTCAGCAAGGTAGTATGCTGTCTAGCTGGTAACAAGACTAGAGGCAAAACCCCAAATCCCTTCTCCTTTAGTAAAACCACCGGCTGTAGCACACAACTTTTCATCATTAGCAAGTACAAATATTTTTATGATAGCTACTGATTGAGTTGGTGGGGGTGAGAGGGGTGTGTGTGGAATTAAAGGTAGTAATTTATTAAAGCTTATATCAGAGCAGAAAAGGAAAATATAATATTTTGATTTAAAGTATAAAATGTTAAAGAATAAAACTGGTTGGCGTATAAGGAATTCTGCAAATTATTTGTGTGGAATCTTTTCTAGAACACATTGAGAGGAAAGTCCTTTGTTTCAGAAGAGCTCAGAGATTCCTGTGTTAAGAATTAGGGTTTCCGGGGCACTTGGGTGGCTCAGTGGGTTAAGTCTCTGCCTTCGTCTCAGGTCGTGGTCTCAGGGTCCTGGGATCGAGCCCCACATTGGGCTCTCTGCTCGGTGGAGAGCCTGCTTCCCCCTCTCTCTCTGCCTGCCTCTCTGCCTACTTGTGCTCTCTCTCTCTCTCTCTCAAATAAATAAGTAAAAGCTTAAAAAAAATTATGGTTCCCAGAGAAGTACAGAAAGTGAGATCAGGGACTAGGGTTTGACTCCAATTCTGGCTTCATATTGTCTATTATTTTTTTTTAAAGATTTTATTTATTTATTTGACAGAGAGAGAGAGAGATCACAAGTAGGCAGAGAGGCAGGCAGAGAGAGAGAGGGAGAAGCAGGCTCCCCGCTGAGCAGAAAGCCCGATGTGGGGCTCAATCCCAGGACCCTGGGATCATGACCTGAGCCGAAGGCAGAGGCTTTAACCCACTGAGCCACCCAGGCGCCCCTTCATATTGTCTATTATTAAGTCACTTAGTTTGTGACTCTTTTACAAATCACAAGGGTGGTGATTTTAATTGAGAGATAAAGAGTCTATAGGATTACTGTAGGGAATAGAGAAAGACAATGTCTGAACTGTGTAAATACCCAGCACTGTCTACATTAGTAAACTACGTTTACTGCATTTGTGCCCTGGATCCCGCTGGCATCTGGTTTAAGATTTTATTTAAATTCCAGTTAGTTAACATATGTTGTATTACTAGTTTCAGGGGTAGAATCTAGTGATTCATCACTTGCCTTGAACACCCAGTGCTCATTCCATCACGTATCCGTCACCCACTTAATGCCCGTCACCCAATTACTGCATCTCCCCCCCTCTCCCCTCCAGCAACCCTCCACTTGGTCCCTATAGTTAAGAGTCTTTAATATATGCTTTGTAAATGAATGCTTAAATAATAAGATCTAGTATCAGGACTAATAACTGCTGTAATTTCAAAGCACCGTATCTTAGTCTCCTTGGATCGCCATAACAAAATACCATAGACTGGGTGGCCTAAACAACAGAAGTTTATTTTCTCAGAGTTCTAGAGACCAGAAGTCTGAGACCACAGTGCTGGTATGGCTGGGTTCCGGGAAGGGCTTCCGGGCCTCAAGAAGGCCACCTTCTCCTTGTGGGCTCTCCTGGCCCTCCCCCAGTTCCTGCATATGGACAGAGAGAGAGAGAAAGAGCGAGATCTCTTCCTCTTTTTATAAAGCCACTGCTGCTATCAGATTTGGCTTCCACCCTTACAACTTCATTTAACCCTAATAACCTCCTAAAAGCCCCATCTCCAAATATAGTCACATTAGGCAGCAGAGCTTAACATATGAATTTTGGAGAACCACAGTTCAGGCCATAGCATAGTGACAGGCATAAATGATATTTAAAAACATCTTCTGCAGACTATAGGTGATATGAAAATAGCTGTGAGCTGTTGGTAACAAAGTCATAGGTACTGCTGTTAATAGGTTTGTTGCCAACATTATGGGAGGACATGCTTAACTTAGTGAGGTTAGTGAAAATAAAGATATGATTTTGATCCCCATCCAAATTCACACCTACCCTGAACTTCTATGCAAAGACCATAGATGAAGAACTCCTGGAACATACAAATAAGATGTTCTTGTTCTGAGCAAACAAGTGGCATAACCCCAGGATAGTGGGAATCAATTCTGAAATCAGCTAATTGTGCCCATTACCAGTCACCCAAGAGAGTAGTAGGTGTGGTGAATTGAAGAGACATCGTCTGTTTTTGGCTTTTTTAGATATGTGTTCGAGTATTGGAATGTGTTTTGTCTTGCAGACACCGGTAACCTAAATACTGAACAAAATGATTCCTGGACCTCTGAGAACTTCTGGCTTGACCCTTGTGTGAAGGGTCAGACGGAGACCATGGCAGAGGACGATGGGCTTCGGAAATCCCTGGATAGGTTCTATGAAATGTTTGGCCATCCCCAGCCAGCCGCTAGAAATCCACTCTCCGCATCAGTCTGCCAGTGCCTGACTCAGAAAATCAATGAACTGAAGGGCCAGGAGAACCAAAAGTATGCCCTTCGCAGTTTCCAGATGGCCCGTGTCATCTTCAACCGGGATGGCTGCGCGGTCTTACGGAGGCATTCCAAGGATGCCCACTTCTACCCACAGGGAGAAGGAAGTATGTCTCTGGATGATGAAAAGCCAACCCCGGGACTTTCAAAAGATGTCATTCGTTTCCTCTTGCGGCAGAACGTGATGAAAGCTCACTAAGACGCCCCCAGTGGTAAGGGCAGGCAGCGTGCAGGATGGCCCCATGGCCTGCGCTATGAGTGCCTCCCCCATAGCCCCTCCAGCCTATCTGGCCAATCCTGTGGCTCCAGCCCCCCGCCCCCCCATGAGTCGATGATACCAGAGCCACTTTAGCCCGCATGGAGAGCCAGCAGTGTTTGTGGGTTGGAGAGCCTCTCTGTTCACACCACCTCTCACCCCACCCTACCATTCCCTTTGACTTAAGGCCCAGACTGGCTGGCTGGGGAGCCCAAAAGCACAGCTTCCTTGCTTCAAGGAAGGAAGGACATGATCTGCGGCATAACATACTCTCCAGAGCTCCCTTCTGGATCAAACCAAGACTTGGGCTTCCCGGAAAATCATGCCTTGCTCAGCCTCTTCTGTCTCCCTGTCCTCCTTCTCTTGTTCACCTACTGGTGTCTCCTGGGAGCCTTTCCTTAATAAAGCTCTTGCACCTGAATCCTTGACTCAGAGTCTACTTCTGGGAGAACCCAACCCGAGAGAACAGGGTTTTTTATTAGATGTGGGTTTTTTTGAAGGCTTTAAAGCTTTGCATGGAATTAAATACAGGAATCAGACCAAGCTGTAAAACAGAGGCCATGTGATTGAGATTGTATTTCCCAAAATAATATAAAGATTTAAATACAGTTTAAGATGGATCACATGTTAATCATAATGTTGTCTCTCCAAAGCCAGAGTTCCCAGTTTTATAATACGAACAGGGTGTGGAAGGAACATTTGGACCCTCTAAAATAAGAGCTAATACCTACAAATTGAAGAAAAAAAAAGAAAAAGCCGGGGGCGGGGGCACCTGGGTGGCTCAGTGGGTTAAGCCTCTGCTTTCGGCTCAGGTCATGATCTCAGGGTCCTGGGATTGAGCCCCCCATCGGGCTCTCTGCTCAGCAGGGAGCCTGCTTCCCTGCCTCTCTCTGCCTGCCTCTCTGCCTACTTGTGGTCTCTGTCAAATAAATAAATAAAATCTTTAAAGAAAAAAAAAAAGAAAGGCTCTTGTCTTTACCAGATTGCCAATGTGGAAGGTGTGAAGAAAACAAATGGGCACCACGTACCGACGTCTGTGGAAGCTCCAGCAGGCCGTGCCACGCAGGTGAGATGTGGCCTTGGCCGTTCGTGGAGGAAGAGGAAAAGGGATCCTTTGCCCAAGTGGATTCCTCCCTGTCATTGTGGACTTGTGCCTGCCCACTCCAGGCACCCTCTGTCACCCTCAGAACAGTTGGCCCCTCACCCCTGCCCTCTCCTTGCTGTGCCAGGGAGAGGCTTTAAATAGCTAGTGCCGGCTTGTGCTGGCAGATGCTCTGCTCCGTGGCCATGTCCTGAACCCCCCCATTCGAGACTTGGGGGGTACAATGACATCACCTGGCACCAAGCTCTCTGAAGCTGCCATTGGAGGCCTCATGCCAATCCCTGCCTTGACAGCCCTTCCCAAACATGACATTGACGCAAGGAGGTCTGTCGTTCGTTTGGGGGAGAACAAGAGAAGCTGGCAACCCTGTGCAGTTAAGATTTTGAGGTACCTGAGGTGAAATTTGGTTGGCCGAAGATTCTAGAAGCTTGCCAGAAAGTGGATTTGGCAAATAGATCGTCTTCCAAGTGTCCATGAAGAGTGAGGGAGCCCTCTCAGGCAGGTCTCTTGGGGACGTTCCGATGGGGAGAGGAGACTTTTAAAGGTCAGGAGTTACATACTGAGGCTTCCAGTTCTGAGATGATCAGAGGTAAGAAACAGCATTTCACAGAGAAGTGCAGAAACACCACCGGAGGGAGACCCAACTGGGAGGAAATAGGAAAGGAGTAGGTCTTTGAGAGATACTTGAGGGAAAAAGACAAGCAATCATGTGAATCTCTCCCACCCAGGCTTCTATTCAACTAACCCACAGATAATCGGGAAACCAGTGGGACTTAACCATTGAACATGTGCAGGTTGAATTTTAAGGTCCGTAACTTTATTGCTTTTTTGTGTGGGACCTGTTAATGGAGGCCTCCGAAGAATGCTGTGGGTTTTAGTATTATTCAGTCACCGAAAAAAATATTGGAAATTAGTTTCCATGCCCACTAACAGGAGACTGGATTATTTTCTACTGTTCTTAAAGGACAGAAAATGGAAGCTACTTCTGTTTGGCAGAGAGATTTTAGTATCAGTGATTTTAGAACCTTTTTTATTCTGCGTGCTAAGGGCAGCTCAGCAGGAGGTAGGCTCTGAAACCAGAGAATTTAGAAATGTAAAAGCCAGAATCACCTTAGGGTTAAAAAAAAAAAAAAAGATGAAGAAGAAAAAAAAAGAGCATGCTGTGTGTTTGCTTGTATCTGAGTAAGTGCTTGTGACAGGTCAGTACAAGATATTTGATTCCCTGCAATCTCGCTCTCTAATTTGATCTTCATGAGGTTCAAATGGCATTTTCCACTTATCTCTGTTTACCTTTAATAAAGACCAAGAGATAAGGATATTAAGGCTCTAGCCTTTGGCATTATCATCTATTTCTGTCCTACAGATCACTTCACCAAGATCCTACCATCCCGTGAACGTTCTGACTGGCCTGTGATATCCTCTATGGCCCTTTCCAGCAGTCTCCAAGAGGGTAGATTTGCTTGCAGGAACATCAGAACTCGGAAGAGAAATTGTTACGTTTTATGTTTGTATGGCGACTACTCACTTCATTAGTCATTGCTTTGCAAGACCTGTGTGAGTACATGCCAGATCTTAGTACCAGTCATTAGCACAAAACAATACGGAGATACTTTGAAAACTTTTTACTGAATTGTGCTAATCACACAGAGAAGAGTTTAGAAATGAACCTCCTGATGATTTTCACAACCCAAACCCACCTGTGCACCCAGAATCTGGCTCAAGCGACAGAGATCACTAGCCAACCCAGGTGGCTCCCTTCTGAGTGAAGCTTTTGATCTGGAGAACAGATGTGAGAATAGTTTGCTCAGACCCTTTGTTTCTCAAACTGCTGGTAGTATACTGTAGGCACTACGTAAACAAACAATGTTTATTTTCATTGTTATCTATTCAGTTTAATATGTTAGAAAATATATAACTATTGCATCTAATTTGTGCTTTTGCAGATAGCACAAAGGATAAGCCTAATATAAATATGGAGACAAACCCTGAGAGACTCTTAATCTCGAAGAACAAACTGAGGGTTGCTGGGGGGAGGGAGGTCGGGAGAGGGTGGTGGGGTTATGGGCATTGGGGGTATATGTGTGCTGTGGTGAGTGCTGTGAAGTGTGTAAACCTGGCGATTCACAGATCTGTACCCCTGGGGCTAATAATACATTATATGTTTATAAAAAATTAAAAAAAAATAAAATAAATATTTACAATTTGAAAGTGAATTGAATTAGGGACATCTGGGTAGCTCGGTCAGTTAAGCATCTGACTCTTGATTTTGGCTCAGGTCTTGATCTCAGGGTTGTGAGATTGAGCCCTGTGTTGGGCCCTCCGCTCTCAGCAGAGCCCGCTTGAGATTCTCCCTCCCTCTCCCTCTTCCCCTCCTTGGCCCCTCACACCTTCTCTCTCTAAATAAATAAATAAATCTTTTTTTTTTTTTTTAGTGAATTGAATTAGCAATAAAGTTAATAAATGTATAGACAATATATAGATATGTCAAAAATTAGACGTGGTAGCCATATGTCCTTATAGTATCCCACCATCTCTCTCCTGGAACACTGCAAGAAACTTCTATCAGGTCAAGCCACATCTTCCTTTACTGCTCTTTACCCTGCAACCCTGTCACAAATCCCTTTAAAAGCAAAACATAAATAAATAGCTAGCAAATTAAAGAGAGGGGACTAGCCTTGTCTAATATGAAAACATTTTTAATTCTACAGTAACTCAAGGAGCAACAAAAGCAGACAAATCAAAGAAAAAAAAAGAGTTCAGCCCACAGATATAAATGCATATGTAAATTGAGAATTTGATGAAGGTAGCCTTTCAAATTCGTAAGAAGGTGGAATTTTTAGCGGATGGTTTAATTGGTTCCCCAGCTGGGGGAGGAGAGTAAAAAAAGGTTAAATTCTTCACCCCACTCTTGATATCAAAATGAATTTTAGATGGATTAAAAATAAAAAGTAAAAAGATAAAATCATAAGACTGCTAGAATAAAAAATGGATGATGTAGGGGCGCCTGGGTGGCTCAGTGGGTTAAAGCCTCTGCCTTCGGCTCAGGTCATGATCCCAGGGTCCTGGGATTGAGCCCCGCAACGGGCTCTCTGCTCAGCGGGGAGCCTGCTTCCTCCGCCCTCTCTGCCTGCCTCTCTGCCTACTTGTGATCTCTGTCTTTCAAATAAATAAATAAAAATCTTTTAAAAATGGACAATGTAGATACATTCATGTGCGCTAGTAGCTCCAGCAGGCCCAGGGTCTCCCAGGCCTCCATGCAACGGCAGATGGTAATCTAGGGCATCCCCCTATATCTGCCCAGTGATATCATGTAAGCATCACATGCAGGGATCCAGTGGGAGCTTAAGCAAAGCCAGAACAAAGTAGACCAAAGCAGCATTGCAAAGGCTCCGAAAACTGTCACTGAAACTATAGCCTACAAAAGTAAATCCTAAAAAAAAAAAAAATCCAAAGCCCAAACAGGGTGGCTACCTACTAAAATAGGAGATGTATATAAGATTTAGAGTCTCCTAACATAATTTGCAAAATGTCCACTATACAGTAAGAAAAAAAAAATCTCTTGTCATACCAAGAACCAAGAAAATCACAATGTGAGTGAGAAAAGATAGTCAGCTGACACCAGTAGTGAGATGAATCAGATGTTGGAACTATTTGGCAGAGATTTTTAAAGCAGTTACCATAAAATGGCTTCAGCAAGTAATTATGAAATCCCTTGAAACATATGAAGAAATATAAAACCTCATCTAAGAAACAGAAGTTACAAAAAAGAACCAAGTGGAAATTATAGAACTGAAAAGCACAGCCACCAAAATTAAAAAAGGAAAAAAAAAAAAACCCTCATTGGATGGGTTCATTGGTAGAGTGGAGAGGATAAAAGATGGAATCGC